CATCATCATCATCATCATCATCATCATCATCATCATCATCATCATCATCATCATCATATTCATCATCATCAGTCTCATCATCAGCATCCTCATCATCATCCTTATCATCCTCATCCTCCTCCTCATCCTCATCACCATCATAATCATCATCATCATCATCATCATTATCATCAGCAGCAGCAGCATCATCATCATCACCATCATCATAATCACCATCACCATCACCATCACCATCATCATCACCATCACCGTCACCACAATCATCAGCAGCATCATCATCATCATCATCATCATCATCATCATCATCATCATCACCATCGTCATCATTATCATCCTACTCAGCACCATCATCATCGTCAACCTCATCATCATCAGCAGCAGCATCAGCATCAGCATCAACATCATCATCAGCAGCAGCATCATCACCGTCGTCGTCATCATCAGCATCACCACCACCACCATCATCCGGAGCAGCATGTTCATCATCATCATCAGCATCATCATCATCATCGTCATCATCAGCATCAGCACCATCGTCGTCGTTGTCACAATCATCATCATCATCCCCATCACCACCATCATCATCACCAGCACCACCATCATCATCATCATCATCATCATCATCATCATCATCATCATCATCATCATCGTCCTGCTCCTCCTCTTCCTCCTCCTCCTCTTCTTCTTCGTTGTCTTATTATTATTGGTCTCATTAATATGTGTCTTCCTCCTACTCATCCTCCTCCTGCTCCTCCTCCTCCGCGTCCTCCTCCTCCGCCTCCTCATCATCATCAGCAGCATCAGCATCAGCATCAACATCAGCATCATAAAAAGCATTGGCATCAGTATCAGCAGCATCATCATCAGCATCTCATCATCATCATCATCATCATCATCATCATCATCATCATCATCATCAGCATCACCATCATCGTCATCATCATCAGCAGCATCATCATCAGCATCATCATCATCATCACCATCAGCATCATCATCATAATCAGCAGAATCATCATCATCAGCATCAGCATCAGCATCATCATAATCAGCATCATCATCAGCAGCAGCATCAGCATCTTCATCAGCAGCAGCAGCATCCTCATCATCAGCAGCATCATCAGCATCAGCATCACCATTGTCATCATCAGCAAAATCAGCATCATCATCATCAGCAGCAGCAGCATCATCAGCATCAGCATCAGCATCATCATCAGCATCAGCATCAGCATCAGCATCACCATCAGCATCATCATCAGCATCATCATCATCATCATCATCATCATCATCATCATCATCATCATCATCATCATCATCATCATCATCATCATCATCTTCATCTTCATCTTCATCTTCATCATCATCATCATCATCATCAACATCAGCATCAGCATCATCATCATCATCATCATCATCATCATCATCAGCATCAGCAGCATCATCCTCAGCAGCAGCATCATCAGCGAAATCAGCCTCATCATCAGCATCATGACCACTAACACCATCAGCATCATCGTCATCATCATCAGCAGCAGCAACAGCATCATCATCATCAGCAGCAGCATCATCATCATCATCATCATCATCATCATCATCATCATCATCATCAGCATCATCATCATGAGAATAATAATCATCATCGTCAGCATCATCAGCAGCAGCATCAGCATCAGCATCAGCATCACCATCATCTCCACAACTACCATCATCATCATCATCATCATCATCATCATCATCATCATCAGCATCATCGACAGCAGCAGCATCACCATGATCATCAGCATAAGCATCAGCATCAGCAGCAGCATCATCACTATCATCAGCATCAGCATCAGCATCATCATGATCATCATGATAATCATGATCATCATCATAATCAACATCATCAGCATCAGCATCATCATGGTCGTCATCATCATCATTATGATGAGCATCATCATCACGAGGATCATCATCAACATCGTCTGATTAGTATTACTATGATTATTATCCTTCTTCTTCCTCCTCCTCCTCGTCCTCCTCCTCCTTGTCCTTCTCCTCCTCCTCCTAACCCTCCTCCTCCTGTTCCTCCTCTTCAAATCTTCCTCCTCGTCCTCCACCTGTTCCTCATCCTCCTCCTCCTCCTCCTCCTTCTTCTCCTCCTCCCCATCCTCCTCCTCCTCCTCCTCCTCCTCCTCCTCCTCCTCCTCCTCCTCCTCCTCCTCCTCCTCCTCCCCGCCGCCTCCGCCTCCGCCTCCGCCTCCGCGTCAGCCTCCGCCTCCTCCTCCTGCGCCTCATCCTCCTCCTCTTCATCTTCATCCTCCGCCTCCTCCTCCTCCTCCTTCTCCTCTTTCTCCTCCTCCGGGTCCTCCTCCTCCTCCTCCTCCACCTCCTCCCCCGAATCCTCCGAATCCTCCTCCTCCTCCTCCGCCACATCATCCTCCTCCTCCGAGTCCTCCTCCTCGTCCTCTACATTCTCCTCCTCCTCCTCATCCTCGTCCTCCTCCTGTTCCTCCTGCTCTTCCTCCTCGTCCTCCTCCTCATCCTGATTTGAATCCTCCACCTCCTCATTTTCATCCTGCTCGTACCTGTCCTCGTCTGCGTCCTCCTCCTCCTCCTCCTCATCATTCTCCTTCTCCTCCTATTCCTCTTGCTCCTCCTCCTCCTCCTCCTCCCAATCCTCCTCCTCCTCCTTTTCCTCCTCATCCTCCTCGTCATCTTCCTCCTCGCCCTCCTCCTCTTCCTCCTCCTCCTCTTCTTCCTCCTCCTCCTCTGCCTCGTTTCCCTCCTCCTCCTGCTCGTCCTCCTCCTCCTCCTTCTACTGATCGTCCGCCTCCTCCTCCTGCTCCTCCTCCTCCTCGTCCTCCTCCTCATTTTCCTTATTCCCCTCCTCGTCGTCTGCGTCTTACTATTACTCGTGTTCTTAATATCCGTATTGGTATCAGTTTGTTTATTGTTCACTTTATTGTGCTCCCTATCTTATTGTTAGTATAAGTATTCTTGTTCATGATATGAACAGTCACATGTACAGTTGTTTGGGTAGTCTTATAATACAAATGTGATTATTGGTGTTGATCTTGCATCCTCATTAATATAAGTTTGTTTATCGTATTATGATGCGGCTGTATTACCATTACGACTCGTATGCTTGTAAGCAGCAGTAGTATCGTTATTAGTATTAGTAGTATTGTTAGCGTTCGTCGAGTTATGATTGTTATTACTATTAATAGTAGTGGTCGGATTCGTCCTTTTCGTCGTATGCATATGCTTCGTATGCTTCTTACTCGCATCATTAACATTATCAGTTTTCCCTTATTATTCAGCGTATTCCTATTATTGTTCTTATTGATATTAAGGGTCGTACTCTCCTGTGGCATGTTAGTATTCGTCTTAGTCGTATTACTGGTGTTCGTCGTCTTCTTAGGTGTTCGCAATGTTCTCTCATTTGTATTCTGATTCTGCCATTGAATAGTATTGTTCGCTGTCGTATTCATATTATAATGTGCCTCATTATCATTCGTGTTCGTTGTCGTCTTCGCGGTAGCGTTATGAGTATTAGTCTTCTGATATTAACACTCGCAGTTTAGTCCGTAGTCACCATATCGTGTTCATCATTATTGCTAATCTTAATATACTGATTAGTGCTGTTATTCGTATTGTCTTGTGATTCGCGTTACCCTTGTAAAGAAAAGCCTTAATATTATTCGTAATGCTTCAAATGTTATGTTGCATTATTCGTAATATTACTCTTGTATTATTAGTCTTAATCGTATCCGTGTGATTCGTCTTTTGATTCATAGTATTCGTCTGTGCGTTCTTCCTTTTCGTATACGTGTTCCTCTTACCGGTCTTTTTCTTAATTTTATATATATATTAATATTGTGTTAATAGTACGACCATTAGTAGTGTTAATATCATTCGCATTCGCATTTTATTATTGTGTTAATATGGAAATCAGCATTAGCATTCGTCTTTGCATTCGTACCCGCATTCTTCGTACTTGTACAAGTAAAGTTGTTAGTGTCATCGTTATTCCTAGTACCCGTATGGATCGTGGTATCAATCGTATTATTCATGTTGTTGTGATACTTCTGATCATTATTAATGTAATTCGCCTTCTTAGTATGATTAATATGATGTCTCTGTTTGTTGTTCATGTTCCTCCTCCTCCTCCTCCTTCTCTTACTCCTTTTCCTCCTCCTCCTCCTCACTATCATCCTCCGAACCCTCCGAGTCCTCCTCCTCCTCCTCCGCCTCATCCTCCTCCTCCTCCTCCTCCTCCTCGTCCTCCTCCTCCTCCTCCGAATCCTCCTCCTCCTCCTTCTCGTAATCCTCCTCCTCCTCCGAATCCTCCTCTTCCTCCTCCTCGTCCTCCTCCCTCTTCTCCTCCTCCTCCTCATCTTCCTCATCCTCCTCTTCCTCCTCCTCATTTTCCTCCTCCTCCTCCGCCTCCTCGTCCCCGTGTTCGTCCTCGTCCTCCCCTCCCTCTTCCTCCTCCTCCTCCTCCTCCTCCTCCTCCTCGCCCTCCTCCTCTTCCTCCTCCTTCTCCTCTTCTTCTTCCTCTTCCTCCTCCTCCTCCTTTTCCTCTCCCTGTTCCCCAGCGAGAAACCGTCGTGCCTCGTCCATCGGGGCTTCAACGCCCTCGATCAGCCGCATGGTTCTGGAGATGTCCTCGTCGCTCGAACGGGCGCTGAGGTTCTTGAGCAGGATGGAGCACGTGACCTCAAGCGAGGAGGACGGGGAGGAAGAGGAGGGGTAGGAGGAGGGGGCGGGAGGAGGGGGGGCATGGGGGGAAGAGGGGGGGGAAGGGGGGGACAGGGGGAGAGAGAGGGAGACTATGAATGCGGATGTGGCGGTGAAGAATGCGTTTTACCTAAAAGCGGAACGAATGCGCGTCTCATGCGGGCGCGGAAAAGGATCCCTTTGAGTCCCTGGGGGCCGCGGGACAAGGGCAGGAAAGGCAGACAGCAGACACAAGGATACCATCCGAGACCGGTGATCGAACGAGTCAGTTTGTGCCCCGTCGGGCACAGCATGCAAAACGTGCCGCAGCCAATAGGGAAAGCTCACCTGTTTCATCAGGTCCTGTGGAGGTCGGCTTTCGCTCCACCCCCAAAGGCACATTGGACTCCCCACGGCGCCAAACGCACAAGTCGTTACGGCGCCCGTGGGAGGGGCGGAAGCACTCCCGACATTGCCCATGGGACAAGCCAAAGCCCGCTAACAAACACCCCACACATGAACAGGAGGAACGGCGGCAGCAGACGATTCGAGGAGCACAGAAAACAATGATCGTGCCACACGCCAAAAGCTGCTGCCCCACGGACACAGTTCGCAGAAACAGACCCTCATTGCATGACTCACTATTTCGCCTGTGACTGTGCGAACATTGTTCACCTATGCGGGTGTCTCTCACATATCCTGCTACACCGCATTCGCGATCACAACTCACGCAATGCGACTGTCCTTTCTTTCCCTAGGCCGCGTTCGCGAACACAGTTCGCGACATACGAACGCCAAAATACGTTGTGCAACCAGCATATACGCAGTGAAACCTCCGGCTGATCATTCCGTCAGTGAAACGTTCTCCTCCCCCGTCCTTGGGTCGCTGCGGCGGGAACTGGGTACGGTATTATTGCGCCTCTCGTCACCGTCTGACCGCGACGAGGTCGTATTTGAGATCTCCGCACATCACGTCCAAGATCAGCTCCTGACCGATATTCTTTTTCGTCACGCGTGCGGCCCCCATGTCGCAACTATCGCACCAAAACATGTCGGCGATCTGCTTGGTACGGAGTTGGCCGGACAGCCACCACAGGTCGCCTGCCATGCTGCACTCCGAAGGTGGACGCACAAGATCCACGGCAACGGCAGCGAAGACGGAAATACCGCCCACGGCCAGGGACGCCAGCATGGCGAAGCCTCCCGCCTCCCTGAACCACCTGATCATCTCGGCTGGGACTGGGCCACGGACCATCTCGAGGGGCGCGAGAAGGCAGGCCTGCAACCCTTCATCTGCGCCGCACGCTGCGAGAAGGTCGGAGCGGAAGGACGACCTACACACAAGGTTGGAAGGCCTACTTGCCGGCGCGACGACACTTGACGAGCCGCATGCTGACGGCGCCCCTCACGCCGCACCCCGTCTCCTCTCCCCTCTTGAAACACCCGTCGCTGCGCGCGCAGATCTGGCCAACGCATTCCCAGGCAGGAAATGCGATGCACGCCTCGATCTCCAGCGTGGCGAGGACCACAGAGCTGCGCCGCATAACGCGTCGCATAAGCAGATTCCCCTTGGCCCGTCGCAGCGCCACGATGCACGCTGCGACGCGGCGCCGGGTGAGCAGGGCGCACGCGGCTGCCCCCGGCAAGGAGACAAAGAGGTCGGGTAGCTACATCCTTCGGGCTCGTCGGCCTTGGTTTTGACCAGGTCGACGTGCCTGATAGGCATCCGGGCGCCGATGTATTCGTCCTGGTCGATCGTCACGGCTGGGTCGGGGCTGCGGCGTTGGTGGGCACCACAGTTGGTGAAGTCGTCGCAGTCCCCCGAAGACGCCCTCGATGTAGCCGATGAGTTTATCGACGTGCTTCATCTGTCCAGCGATCTTAATATCGCCAACGTGCTTGGACAACCCGAGCACAAGCTTTGAGTCGCCAGCAACACAAGCACTGGACGCCTCACGCTTGACCTCGAGCTCCGGGACCCACCGGGCGGCAGGGTGAAGTTCACCTCGCGCGGCGTTTCACATTGTTCCTGCATCCCGCAAGAGTGCGTTCTCAACGTCCACGGCGACGTAGACCCAGTGCGGGCGACACGCCGCCCCCGAGGGCAGCATGCGTTGCGCGGCGCGTTTGGCTGTCCCCGCGAACGTCTCCAGGGCGCCGGCACCCACGTCGCGGAGGCCTCTGACCGCCATGCAGCACCAGATCGGCTTGCCCCGCGCACCGCGCCCGCAGTGCAGCGGCCACCGCGAGAACACCAGCTCCCATGGCCTCCAAGGCAGGCCAGCGCTCAACCAGGGCCTGCTGTTGTTTCACCAGCAAGGCGGCCCCTCCCTTGCGGCCTACATACTCCGCACCGGTGCTCGCTAATTGCGTCGGAGAGTTTCGTCTTCCGCGCACGGGCCAAAGCGCGAAGGCCGAAGCGGCGAAGCGCGACACCCATTAGGCAAGGCCAGACCCCCCTAGAGCCCTTGAACACCGCCACCAGCTCCCCTGTCTCCAGCGGGGGCTCTCCAATAGCATCCCGTGCAGCGGCGCGGGCAATCGGGCCTAAAGTCACCCCGCTGTCAGCGCTGGCCGCCAGCCGCTCCAACCGCGCGCACAGCAAGCTATGCGCAGTGAGACCGGGCGGGCGCCGCAGCAACTTGCATGCCTCTTGCTCGACCTGCCTTCTCGGCTCTGCGGACTGCGGCCCTGGTCGCACCCCTGGCTGCGCAGCGCCTGGGTTCGGCAGCTCTGCGGGGAGGCGCGCCCTAAGCTTCTCGACCGTGGCCCCGGTCCGTGGCGCAAGATCGGCGCCCACCGTCGCGGCCCGGGCCCTGGCCTCTTCGCCAGCCGCTGCCAAAGCGTGGGCTCTGCGCGCCCGCTCCTTGGTGGTAGCCCTCCGGTTCGGTGTCTGCGGCGCCGGGCCGCCGCCCACAGCCGGCGCCCCACCACAGAGCCAGCCGCCCTTCCAGAAGCTCTGCGCCGGATGGCCCTACGCCACGGGGAAGGGACAGCAGCACCAGATCGAAAAGCAGCACCGGTTTCCATGCGGCCGCGGCGTCCCCCTGCGCACAGGCCCCCCCAGGCACCCCGAGCGCCTTGCGCCTCGCACGCGCCGCCGCTCCACGAAACCGATCTGGAGCATAGGCAAACGTAGAAATTCTTGTTCGCAAAACCGCGCCCCCAGACAAATTGTGCTCTTTTCCTTCCCGGCGTCGGCTGCCCTATCGCATTGGCGCCGGCGTCTCCAAAGCCCCCATGGGCAACTGCTGGAGTCGACGCTACAGAACCGACCGCAGACCGCGTTTCCTCCACATGTGCAGGCCCCGCCCGATGAACTGGGCGAATGTCGTCGTCGACTCCGCTTTTCCCAGCGACGCAGCCTATGCACAACCAGCTGCTATTTGTCCAGCTGCCCCGTGCACATGCACATTTCCTGCGAAACCAGCGGGATCGCACAACCCTTGCATACAGCTAATCGGTTCGAAGCCAACTGCAGGTCTAGCACCCGCTTCATCGTCCCAGCCGACGTTGCTATCTCCCCCCGCTCCCTTCCTCCTGCATATCCTCCTCCTCCTCCTCCTTTTCCTTCTCCTCCTCCTCCTCCTCCTCCTCCTCCTCGTCTTCCTCCTCCCCGTCCTCCTCCTTCTCCCCCTCTTGTTCTTGCTCCCCCTCCTCCCCCTCCTCCTCCATTCTTAACCTCTTTCTGTCGCACACCGAAGCTGGTCGAAAAGGCGGGCTGGGCGTTTCGCCTGAGACGTCCGCACCACTGATGACCCTCAAGCCTCAAGACTGGCAACAGCTTCACACATGGAGGGCGGGTCGTTTTCAAAATGCGGTTCTCGCCGCAGCACCGCGCACACTCCCTTTTTTGAAAAGATGTGCGAGAGTTTCACGGATTGAGGGCGGGTCGTTTTCAAAACGTGGCTCTCGCCTCAGCGCCGCGTGCATTCGTTTTAAACAATTACCAGAGCTTCATGGAGTGAGGGCGGGTAATAATTTTAAACATGTGGCTTTCGAATTAACGCCGCGCACATTCGTTTTTAAACATTTGCGGGAGCTTCACGGATTAAGGCCGGGTTGTTTTCAAAACGTGGCACTCGCCTCAGCGCCGCGCACATTCGATTTCAAACTCTGCCGGAGCTTCACTGATTGAGTGGGGGCAGCTCGTTTTCGGAATGTGGCTTACGCCTTAGCGCCGCACACATTCGTTCTTAAAAGGCTTACGTAAGAGTTTCATGAATTCCCATGGTCAGCGTGCTAGAAATAATGTTTGTGAAGGACTCTGGATTGTGGAAGCGCAACAGCTACGTCGATTCGCGGTGTTGAAGTCCCAGGAATGGTGTTGTGGTTAGTTTCAAGATCGTCAAGACGCAACAATCATGTTGATTCGTGGCGTTGGATTCCCGAGAACGGTGCTTTGGCACGCTTCAAGGGTCTTCAAACTGTTCTCTCCCAACGAAGCAGTTCCCTCAATGGAGCTGAACCTTTTGTAGGGCCTATAAGTTAGAGGAGGGCAAGGCGAGGCGAGGCGCCGGTCAGTCGTCCCGGGGGACGGCCCTACGAGAGCCCAGCGGCGGCGCTGGAGCGCAGAGAAAAATGCGGATCGAGGGGGGGAGGGAGGAGAGGAGGACTCAAACCGCGGAGTTGGAGTCTCGCGTACAGTCCTTAATATTGACGTAAGCCAAGAATTTCGGCTCCAATGCCGACCGAGCTTCCTTGTCTGTCGCCGTGTTTCTCCACCTTGTGCGGTCGTCGCCGACGTCATGCGTGGTGATTGTTAGTGGGACTTCGGCATCAAATTTCTTCTGCTGTCCTCCGTGGCGTCGTAGGACTGGGCGTGGGTCGTGGGTGCTCGGGGTCCAGTGTAGTGAGAGTCGCGTCCATCTTCGTAGTCATGGCCTGCGACGCGCGATGCCCACCGACACTTCCTTTTGAAGTATACCGTAGTCCAGTCCTCCACGCCTGCGCGCCGAGAATGCTCCAGGGCTACGCGCGTCAATCTTCGTAAGAAGTCTTCCCACGGTTCCAACCCGTCTTCTTCTATGTCCTCTGGGCTGCCGTGATGGACGGGAGTCTCTGCTGCGTCGGTGCCGGCCGCTTTGCTGGTGTCGTCGTCGCGGGCGTGGTTTTGTATATTGCGACAGCGTGGCACCCAAATTACAAGCGGGTCCAAGACGAGCACCCATACATCACTGATATTGTGATTTTTCCGCTGAACTGCCTCAACCGACTGTGGAGTGCAAAACGCTTGTGTGTTAGCTCGTATCGCACTTGTTTGGAACGACCCAATCCTGCGGCAATCCTATTGCATAGCTCTGTCTCGTGAAGTCGTTAAAACTGAAAACCGAACTTCCTTCCTAAATATTTCGTTTCTGGCCAGAACGCAATATTTCGACGCTTTCCCCGTTGATGTCGACGTGAGTAAATGTTACTCCGTCTCTCCAGCTGACGTTCGTCAGGATATTGGCTTTGTCTGGGTGCAGAGCCAGATGTCTTGGCTTGGGGTTGACATCAACTGTCGTCAATTAGGGGCGTAGAGCAAGAAAGACATCGCCAGCCAAACGTAGATGTGTGATCCGCGCTAGTAATGCGAAGCCAAATTGGAATTTCTCGCGCTGCCACTCAGACTTCACCTGTATGAACACCTGTTCGAAGACAGCATTGAACAAGAAAGAGCTTGGTGGGTCTCCCTGTTTCACGCCCCGTTCGATACTGAAAGCCCTGCTGGTGGTGTCTGTCCTGACTGTTGCCGTTTGGGTGCAGTACAACTGCTTCAAGTTCATGTAGGCAGGAGGTATGTTTTGTTGTCGTGAGGCGTCCAATAGTTGCTCGTTGTCTACACAATCGAACGCCTTCTTGAAGTCGACTGCTGCTACCCATAGCGGTAGCTGCCACTCGTAGGAACCCTCACGTAACATCGCAACGATCAGCAAATGGTCTTCCGTGTAGTAGTCATTCCGGCAGCCTGCTTTGGCAGGACACTATCTTGGAGGAAAGAAGTATTCCAACATCGGTGTTGAGTCTTGGGTTTACACGTGTCCTCCTCCTCCTCCTCCTCCTCCTCCTCCTCCTCCTCCTCCTCCTCCTCCTCCTCCTCCTCCTCCTCCTCCTCCTCCTTCTCTTGCTCTGACGACGACGACGGCCACAACCACCACCACCACCACCACCACCACCACCACCATGACGAACAATGACCACGACGACGCCGAACGCCGCCGAGAGCCACCGAGGAACCATCGCTCTGGCAGCCGCCGAGGGGCCGCCCCGGCCGCGGCCGCGGCCGCAGCGGACAGCACACGGGCAGCCCTCTGGCGGCCAGTGGGCAGCCCTGCGGGGGGGCCTTCGGCGGCGGCGAGGACGCATGCTGGCGGTGGGCACAGGCAGGCGGCGCGAGGCGGGTGGCCTGCGGAGAAGCCCGGAAGGCCTCTCACAGAAAGGTACCCAGCCATGCACCAACACCGATCCTGGCCAGGATCACCCTGGGCCCAGCATCGGTGTCCACGCCCTCCTGCCTTGGGCAGCATGCATGCATCTACACCGATCCTGGGCCCAGGATCGACCTGGCCAGGATCGGTGCGGGTGTAAAGCTGGTGACCTCCGATCTGAGAAGACAGCGGCCTTCTTCAACGGGCCCGAGAAGGCAACCTCTGCGCGCCAGGAGCGGGCCCGTGGGGGACCCCGCGGCGCGCGGGCCTGCGAAAGTGCACGCTTGTGCCGCGCGTCCTTCCTCGAAAGAACGGCCACGGAACGGCCGCATCGATCTGCTCGAGGCGCTGCGACGTCTGTCGGCGGCGCGCCCACGGGGGCGGGCGGAAGGGGCGCGCCTTCTCAGAAGGGGGCGGGGCTTCTCGGAAGCCCTCCAGACCTTCTGAAAAGCCCTCCGTGGCATCGGAACAGGCTTAGAAAGCTTCCCAGAAGGCCGCATAACCTTCTGTGGGGAAACAAAAACATGCCGATACCGCTGCTCCAGAGACCTCTCCCAGGGCGCAGCTTGACCAGGATGTCGAGGCGAACCCAGCCGTGGCGACGAGGGAAGGGCAGCGAGATTGAGTCCTCTGAGAAGGCGCGCCACAATCTCAGAGGAGGAGGAGGAGGAGGAGAAAGAGAAGGAGGAGGAGGAAGCGAAGGAGGAGGAGGAGGAAAAAAAAGGCGGAGGACGAGGAGGAGAAGGAGAAAGAGGAGGAGGAGGAGGAGAAAGAGGAGGAGGAGGAGGAGGAGGACAAGTGTAAACCCCAGACTCAACAACGATGAGGAAGAGAGGAGGGGGGGGAGGGGGGGGAGGAGGAGGAGGAGGATAGGAGGGAGGAGAGGAGGAGGAGAGGCGGAAGAGGAGAGGAGGGAGAGGATGAGGAGGAAGGAGACGGGGAGGAGCAGGAGGAGGAGGAGGAGGAACAGGAGGAGGAGGAGGAGGAGAGAGGAGGAAGGAGGAGAGGAGGAGGAGGAGGAGGAGGGGGGGGGACGAGGAGGAAGAGGAGGAGGAAGAGGAGGAGGAGGAGAAGGAGGAGGCGGAGGAGGAGGAGGCGGAGGAGGAGGAGGGAGGAGGAGGAACAGGAGGAGGAGGAGGAGGAGGAGGAAGAGGAGGAGGAGGAGGAGGCGGAAGAAGAGAAGGAGGAGGCAGATTGTCTTCATCTGAGTCAGAGCCCCTTGAGCAGGCGCGCCGCCGAGTCCGCGCTCGAGCGCGCGCAGCTGGGCGGGCGCGGGGCGGCCTGGTTCGGGCTGAGCCCTGCGGCGCCCATCTCGTCGAGCACCGCCCAGACGTCGCTGCCGCCGCGCACCCCCGCGCGGGCCTCGCCCCGGGGCTCCGTGGAGGACGATGGACGATGTGGACGATGTGGAAGATATCGACGGCAACGACGGCGACGACGACGTCATCGGCAACGACAGCGACGACGACGTCATCGGCGACAACGGCAACGGCGACGGCGGCGGCGACGGCGACGATCTCGTCGTGAAGGCTTTCGGGCGCTCCCGGAGGCGCACGGCGCCGAGGCAGGGCGAGGGCTCGGAGAGCGGGCTGGGAGGGGCCCTGGGAGGGGCTCAAAAATCGATTGTGCCATGACGCTGGGTCGGAAGACATGCAGCGCTTGGGAGCCCGTCGGGGCCGTCTGGGGGCCATTCGTGGAGGGTCCCCGGGGCCCTGGTCCACCCATGGAGGCTAGGGGCATCTAGTTTGGGCGCCAGGAACGCCTACGCCGTTGTACATGTGTGTGTGCATATATATATAGAACATCATCATCCTCCTCATCCTCTCTATCATCACCACCACCACCACCACCACCATCATCATCATCATCATCATCATCATCATCATCATCATCATCATCATCATCATCATCATCATCATCATCATATCATCATCATCATTCATCATCATCATCATCATCATCATCATCATCATCATCATCATCATCATCATCATCATCATCATCATCATCATCATCATCATCATCATCATCAGCATCATCTCACGCATCACTCATCATCATCTCATCATCATCATCATCATCATCATCATCAGCATCATCATCATCATCATCATCATCATCATCATCATCATCATCATCATCATCATCATCATCATCATCATCATCATCATCATATCATCAGCATCATCATCATCACGCATCACTCATCATCAACATCATCATCAGCATCATCAGCAGCATCAGCATCAGCATCAGCATCATCATCATCATCAGCATCATCATCAGCATCATCATCAGCATCATCATCAGCATCGCCATCATCAACATCATCATCATCATCATCATCATCATCATCATCATCACCATCATCATTTCATCATCATCGCCATCATCTTCATCGTCGTCGTCAGCATCATCATCATCATCAGCATCATCAGCATCATCATCATGAGCATCATCATAATCATCAGCATCATCAGCATCGTCGTCATCATCATCATCAGCATCATCAGCAGCGTTAGCATCTTCATCAGCAGCAGCAGCATCAGTATCAGCATCAACACCAGCATCAGCATCAGCATCGTCATCAGCAGCAGCATCATCATAAACATCATCATCGTCGTCGTCATCATCAGCATCATCGTCATCAGCAGCATCACCATCATCATCATCATCATCATCAGCATCGCCATCATCATCGCCATCGTCGTCATGCGAATCGTCATCATCAGTATCAGCATCATCATCAGAATCAGTATCATCAGCATCAGCATTATCACCATCACTCATCATCAGCATCGTCGTCATTCAGTTCATCATCATCCTCCTCATCAGTATCATCACCATCCTTCTCATCCTCCCCATCCTCACCCACATCCTCATCATCATCACATCATCATCAGCGTCATTAGTATGATCAGTATCATCATCATCATCGTCATCATCAGCAGTAGCAGCAGCATCGTCATCATCAGCAGCATCAGCATCATCATCCTCATCAGCATCATCATCATTAGCATCAACATCAACACCATCATCATCCTCAGCCTCATCATCATCAGCATCAGCAGCATCCGCGTCAGCATCAGCATCATCATCAGAAGCATCAGCATCATTACCATTGTCGTCATCAGCATCAGCAGCAGCATCATCAGCATCATCATCATCGCCACCACCAGCATCGTCATCATCATTGTCATCATCATTATCCTCTTCATCATCATCAGTATTAGCATCAACAACATCATATTCATCATCATCTTCAGAAGCATCATCAGCAACAGCATCAGCATCCTCATCCTCATCATCATCAGCAGCATCATCATCAACAGCATCATCATCAGCATCATCGTTCTCACCCTCATCCGCATCCGCACCCTCATCCTCATACTCAGCCTCAGCATCAGCATCATCAGCAGCATCAGCATAATCACATCCTTCATCATTATCACCATCGTCATCAGCAGCAGCATCAGCATCAGCATCATCAGCATCATCAGCATCATCAGCATCATCGTTACCATCATCAGAATCATCATCAGCGGCATCAGCATCGCTCCCTGTCCGGCGAATGCTTGCAATGGGGACACTTAGAACAATAAGTATTCGGCGGCCAGCCCCCAGGGATGGCGAAATCGAATGAGTCCGCGATGACGTCACTCCGTTGCCCCCTTCAGCGCCCCTCGAAGGCGGCGACAGCTTCGCAGTTCGCAGCCCCCCAGGGATGGCGAGGTCTAATATGAGCCAGGGTGTGACGTTACTCCGCTGGCCAACCCCCCAGTAGACCTCGGAAGTAGCGCCATGTTCGCAGGTCGCAACCCCCAGGAATGGCGAGGTCTACTCTGAGTCAGCGTGTGACGTC